TTTTTTTTCGCGTAAAACCACTAAACGATACCATTATTTGCAAACAAAATACAACACAAACCACTAATCAATAGAGAAAATCGCAAAAAACAAAAAATCTTTATTATATAACAGTATGTAAACTAAACAAATATAAACACTTCACACACTTTAAAACTATTGTAAAGTTAAAAAAAACTATTTGTAAAACCAATAGCTTTCGCATTGAATCGCATAGTAATAGCAATACTGGTGTTAGAGATAAGCAAATAATTCGCACAAAAATTGTTTACAAAATCTATGGACGAGTAGTAAAAGCATTGAAAAACGCGTATTCAATGCCTATTAGTTACGGCCAATCATTAGATACAACTAGTAATATATGCTATATATATGTATAGATAAATACCTTTACAAACAAAATAAATTCAATTGAAATAAATGAACGAAATTAGCAAACATTTTGGGAAAACATATCAATATTCACAACATTTTTGTGGCGAAAATCGCTTTTATTTACAGACTTTGAGAGCCATTACTGAATGAGTGACGAAACCATTGAGACGTCATATGTTTCGCAAATGTAATCCCTTCACAAACACATACACACATGACAGGGGGTGCGGGGGTGAGCCCTCCCCTCCCCCTAACAGCTATACCCCGTACACCCCCGGAAATGTCACGCAGTGGTCTGAAACTTAATATTTTAGTTTAATTTTCATTGTATTAGTATTAATATCGGTGTTATGTAATTTTTAATTAATATTATTTGTATTACGTTATTATTATTATAAAGTAGAGGTAGTCAAATGAAATTAATTTTATGGGTTAAGTTATATAATTTTACCGGGGGTATTAAAATGGCTATTATAACCATTGATAATTGTGCGTTGATCATTTTTGTGTCGTATGAACTAATGCTAGTGCAACATAATTGATGCAAATTATACAGGGTATGTTTGCTTCCGGAATATTCTTGATATGATTCACAGAATTTAAGGCTAATTATGTATACTTTATTTGCACATTAAATACAATATGATACTATGTTACAATTTATTAAGATTGATAAATTAATTTACTAATTATTTATTAATTACTGGATTAAAGTTACTTAATTACGATTCAATAGGAATGATCCAGTTCAATTTGTCCCAAGTTTGAGGGTCAGTTGAGAATAACCCAAAACAATGTAACGTTGTGTGTGAATAGTGCCGACTATTTACTGCCCTTTCATTTGACAACAATTTCTGATGTTTTAAAATCTGAACTCAATTTTCATTCAATTCTTGCGATTATCTTATATACCATTGAATCCACGCCGCGATGACTGAGATCTTTAACCCATTGATGGTAAGCGAGTTGTCTTCACGTACTGTCACTGTTCTGATCACTTGTTTCGCTCACATGTCTGCAGGAAATCGACTCAAACGGAGACAATTACGAAGACCTGCTCAGCGATGACCCGAATAAATGTCTTCAGACAGTAATGTATGTCATCGTCGGACACACGGATCAGACACTTATTAATTCAATTCATTAATTGATTGACTGTCTCGACGAACAGATACATCAAGAACTTAGTGATTGGCAGCAATCGGTTGAAGGGAGCGATCATTGAGTCGCCAGTCGTGCCACGACTCATACAACTGATCCAAATCTACCGCAACAGTAACCAACAGTTGGCCAGAGAGGCGGTGCTCACGATCTCGAGTTTAGCCAAAGGGACGGACGAGCACTTGAAGGCACTCGTGGACAGCGGAGTGGTGGCCGCCCTCCTCGAGAACACCAAAGCCGCGGACACGGCGTTCGTCGAGTCGTGTCTGCGGGCGCTGCGGACGCTCTTCAAGTCGTCGGAAGCGCCCATTAATCTGATATTCGAGAGGAATGAGATGCCGGACGACTCGTTGCACTCAATTATACCGCATTTGCTGTCGTTGGCGGCCAATCACCAGTCGTTCGTCAACAAGGAGTGCATCGCAAACATAATGGCCTCCTGTTGTCAGGTATGCACTGCCGGTGCGCTCTCATTGCTATCGCATTCAATGTAACGGTTATTCCTCTCCGCAGACCACAGAACAACAGAATATTCTCAGTAATTACGGATCGATCGGAATAATAGGCAATTTGCTGGTGAATAACGTGTTGAGAGTGCAAATGGCGGCACTGAACTGGTTGTCCCAAATCTGCTACCAAAACGAAACGGTGTCCGCCTTTGCTGTGAACGAGTACTGCGACGGACGGGTTATACCCGACCTCTTGGTCTCAATGATGAGCCAACAGAAGACTAACGAAATGCAATTAATTGCCGCCAAATGCATGACTTATATCTACCGTTCCGGTGCCCTCACGAGCGATGACAAGCGAATAGTGTACAAGACTTTGCCGACTCTGGTCCGCATGTGTAAGAAGGATAAGGAGCCCTCTGTGCGAGCGATGGGCGCCGACATTCTCGCCTTTTTGACTGAAATCGACACTAATCTCCAGCAAACGGCCAGTATTTGCGATCACTTGATCCCGACATTGGCTGAACTCCTCAAATACCAATCAAACTGCATATCACTGTTGGGTTACACCGACTCATTCAATAACCAACCGATAACTGCGGCCACCGTTAAGAAATTGGAACAGGAGGTGATCACAACGCAAGACATAAAACAGGCGGCGTTTAAAGCGTTCGCCTCATTGGGCGCCAACGACGAGGACATTAGGAAGAAGATCATTGAAACGGATTACCTCATGGATCACATCGTGAGCGGTCTCTCCGACCCGAACATCAAGACTCGATTGTCTGCTCTGAGATGTCTTCACAGTCTGTCGCGTTCTATACAACAACTGCGGACAACATTTCAAGACCACGCCGTTTGGGTGCCCTTAAGAAATCTCTTACACAACGCGTCCGATGAGATACTGAGTGTGGCGTCGAGTACTTTGTGTAACCTTTTGCTGGAGTTCTCTCCGAGTAAACAAGTAATTGAGACCACAATCCCTGTGTGCTGTCAATCAATGCGTGTCTTAATGTTTGGTGTCTTTGCGTAGCATTTCTTAGATCGCGGAGCCGTCGACCTGTTGTGCGAACTGACGCGCAGGGATGAGGCGGCGCTGCGACTGAACGGCGTTTGGGCGCTAATGAATATGGCCTTCCAGGCCGACCAGAACGTCAAGTCGCAGATTCTCAACTCGTTAGGAACCGATCAAATATTCAGACTCCTGTCCGACCCGGACGTCAACACTCTGATGAAGACTTTGGGTCTGTTGCGGAATCTGCTCTCAAATAAACCGGTTTGTCATTAGTCTCTCCACGCAATGCATTGAGACCAGAGTTGACTGATTGTCGAGTATTGATATATGTCTGCCATTCGCAGCACATCGATCACATCATGAACCTTCACGGCAAGCAAGTGATGCAGGCGGTGATCCTGATCCTGGAGGGCGACCACACGAGCGAAGTGAAGGAGCAGGCGCTGTGCATACTGGCCAACATAGCCGACGGCGACTCGGCCAAGGAGTTCATAATGTCCAACGAGGATGTGCTCAAGAAGTTGACCTCATATATGATGCACTCGAACGTGAAGCTCCAGATCGCGGCCACGTTCTGCATATCGAACCTCATTTGGTCGGAAGAGGACGGCGCCGGCCATCGACAGGACCGGCTCAAGGAGATGGGCGTCCAGAAGCTGCTGCAACAGCTGCTCACCACCAACGACACCACACTCTTCGACAGAGTGAAGACGGCGTTACAGCAGTTTAATAATTAACTCATTTGCACGACATGTTTATAAATTACAAATATTTGGTCCATTATTTTGATATATAATTTAAGACAAAAAACACATTTTTAAATATACAATACGTATTGGAAAACGCAAAAAATCATGAATCAGTAGTGGATATGAATCGGTATAACAATTAAGAGAATCATTGTAACTGTAATATTACTATCACTTCATACAAATCAATAATAATTTAATTAAACATTAGTAAAACATAAGTTTACTGTTGTGTTAAGGTTTGCACTCAAACTCATAGTTTGAGATATTTTTAATGGCTTTAAATAATTGAATAATTAGTCGATTTATAGACAATACAAATGGAAAGGTTTGTCATAACAGAGCGATAATGTCTTGAGATGTCTTAGAATTTGGAATAATATCGAAACGAATGCTTCTTTGGTCTCGAGTCGAACCAAACGTTTATCACTTGTCTGTTGGAAGAGATTTCTATTGGTTTTCGGGTGACTTTCGTATAAGAAATTCCGTTTCCGACGTATAAAATGCGATCAATTTTGGCAACTCTTTCATCACATAAACTCATGTCAAGGGAATCGAGTGACCACTCGATGGACACCTCTTCGGGCCGTTGATTGGCGTAGAGGAGCGTCGAGTCGTTCGTAACGAGAGATTGATTGGCGAGAGAAGGGGTTTGAGAGGAGGACTGGAGAGAGGTTTTGGCGATCGCTGTGGAGGCGAGTA